ACCTAAATGGCTTAGCCAACCATGATGAGTTAGTGAAGTGTTTTAGCAAAGTGGTAAACGAAGTGTTTAAAAATACGTTATTTTTGTTTATCTAGAAGATTTGCTTTGAATTTGTTTTGTTGTTGTAAGGCACGTCTTAAGAAGAAAACACGTACGTCAAAAAGGGAGAAAAAATTGTCTCGTCGGACAGTTTTCTCTCCCTTTTTTAGTAGACGTTCCTGTCTTCAAAAAGGGAGAGAAAACTGTCTGTAGCAACTACAGAGGCATCTCAGTCCTCCCCGCTGCCTATAAGGTGCTTTCAGGGGTACTGTAAAAGCGCCTGAATGTATATGCTGAGGAGATACTCGGGGAATACCAATGTGGATTTAGACCAAACTGATCAACTAACTAAAACGTACTACCCATATTCCATTCTACTGGCATCTTTTCTTCATTCCAGACTTGCAACACCAACATATGATACGCATATGATCCGTCAATTTATTACCAAATCCGTTCAGTAGTTCTGCAGTAATGGAATCTAGACCTGGAGATTTATTATTTATTAAACTGCGGAGGGCTTCCTGAACATCTATAATTGTGGGAGCTGGTAGATTTTCTTCTACGTAAAAATACGTTTGAGCATCTGTGGTTACGATATGGTTGTTAATATTTTGTAGTTCTTCAAAATATTGACGCCATAGCTTGATAACGTCGGTTTTTTCTGTTAGGATGGTTCCAGACTTTTCTCGAAAAGAGCCCAGAACGGGGCTGATAACCTTTACGGTATCAAGTAAAAGTATCTACTATAATTCTTTTCTCGCATGGTTTCCATATTTTTAATGATGTTTTTATCAGTGTCTCTTTTTTTCCTGCTAGCCATCTTGTTACATTTAGTTCTTTCTGCTCTGTATGTCTCCTTATTTTCGTCTATGTTATTTTGAAGATATTTTAGCCACGCTTCGTTGTTTTTGTTTATAGCTTCTCTATATTCTTCATCAAACCAACCTTCGTCTTTCTTAATTTTTATCTCACCTATTACACACGTAGCCGCATCAATTATTGCTGTTTTTATGCTATTCCAGTTTTCTTCAATGTTTTCTGATGGGGGGTTGCTATTAAGGTTTTTTGCCATCTCTTGTTTATATAAACTTAGTTTTAACGGATTTTGCAGTTTTTCTGTGTCCCATTTTACACGTTTCTCACCTGGAGCGTTCTTGATTCTCGACGTTTTATTCTTTAAAGATGCTATTACGAGAAAGTTGTCGGAGTCACAGTTAGCCCCTCTGAACACTCTAACGTTTTCTACATTCGTGAGACGCCGCTTGTTTATCAAAATATGGTCTATTTGGTTCCATTGCGACTTGCCGGGGACTTTCCAGATCCCTTTATGCACATTTTTGTGAGGGAAATTGGTGTCGCAAATTAAGAGATTATTAGCTGCGGTGAAGTTACACAGTCTTTCTCCATTGTCGCTCGTCTCGTCATGTAGAGATTTTTTACCTATTACGTCCTCTTTTCCTACTTTTGCATTAAAATCACCTAATAAAAATAAGGTATCATGTTTAGGTACAGCTTCGCATAGTTTCTGCAAACTCATAAAAGCTCTCCATGGATTCCTCAAGTGAATCTTCAGTTGGAGAATAAATACAGATATATATATATTGTATATTATATAGCTTTCCCTTGACTCGTATCTTACAGAGCCTTTAGTTTACTGGTTCGAACCCTTGTAGACAGTTCTACAGTTTCCTGCTGACCATGTAAATTCGCGGCCAATCTCGTTCATCTTTCCGACTTGTAACGTACTCTGTATATTCCAAGTACCAATTCGCAGGCAAAACCATTTATCCTTTTTAATTCTTCGGTGTCGTCGGGTTAAAAGCGGTCCGGTATTTTCTTATGTGTCGGAATTCACAACCAGTTGCTTTTTTCTCATATAGGTTATAAAAAGTTAATTACCACATTATTCAATACTTGCCTTCGTTTAGCCACGTTTAATCCTGGTAATATATAAATCTGCCTTCTCTTCTATTATGTTTAATTTGATACAAGTATTTTTGACGCCATAGTACTATCTCCTTGCGAACTGTTAGTGCACTTTAACGTTTGCGACTTGCATATTTAAAATTGAAATGCTTCAATACTTTCCTTAATGTTGATTTCGACATAACAGGCATGTCTGGATCACCAGCTATCTAGATAGGCAACACAAGTTAAAGTATAGTTTTAAAACAATGGGGGATGTCAACAACGAGGGGTTAAAGAATTAGCAATAACTTTACCTTTTCAATAGTCGGAATCTCGTTCCTGTGGAAAAACGGGTGAACCTTTCGTCGAATTGCGGCGAAAGTAAATACGCCAAATTTTTGTATGAAATATAGCTGAGGTCCACTCTTTTTCGGCTTTTGAAACTCTTTTGCGACTTTATATTCTTTGGTAATTTTATAGACACTTGATTGACCCAAGCCTAATAAAAATAATCTCAAAAGTCTTTTTAGCACATTCCGTTGCACTCCAATCAGTTATTTGCGGTCCATTTTCTATATTATATTTGCAAATATTTAGAATTATGGTCTTTTCGTTGGGCGTAAAAGCACCACGAGGACACTTGTTTCTGGGAGAAAGAAAGTCTGAGTTTTGTGCTCTGTAAGATGGGGCTGGTTCCCGGGTAGGGCCAGGTTGTGACGTTTATAAAAATCAACAAACGATCACAACAACTGGGGCTCCCCAGTACCAGCTCCTTCCACTTGACCGCATCCAGCGCAGAGCGGCTCGAATCGTCGACGACCGAGTGCTTTCCGATCGGCTTGACTCACTGGCGCTGCGAAGAGATGTTGCATCTCTTTGCGTATTTTATCGCATCTATCACGGGGAGTGCTCTGAGGAATTGTTCGGATTAATCCCAGCCGCCAAATTTCGTGAACGCACTACACGGCAAACGTCCCGATACCATCCACACCATCTGGATGCTTGGCGGTCCACCACTGTACGTTTCAAAAGGAGTTTTCTTCCGCGTACAACCTCTCTGTGGAATAATTTACCACCGGTGATTTTTCCGGACCGATACGACCTGGGGACCTTCAAGAAAAGAGCTTACTCCTTTCTAAAGGGCCGGCAACGCACCTGCAATTCCCCTGGTGTTGCGGTTGATCATGGGCGGCGGTAGTCACTTAACATCAGGTGAGCCACATGCTCGTTTGCCCCCCTCTTCTATATAAAAAAAGAAAAAAAAAACACGAAAAGTCAACAAGAAAAACTTAACAGTATAACAGAAACTTAACAAATATAACAAGATAATAACAACAAATAGCAGCAAACACCGAGAACACATGAGCGCATTCGAACATTCAAAGAAGTTTTCATGTATACAAAAAGTAGTCTGTGAAAGAAGTCGAATGAATATCAATTAATGTGACAGACGCGACGTGACAGTTAACATTTTATTTTTTTAAAAGGTTTACTTAACCTGAAATTAGTTGGCAGTGATGCCAGCTAAAGTATAAAATAAAATAATTAAAGTTAATTCAGTATATTGTTCGTGATATTGAAATATTTGTTATTTTTGTATTAGGTCACTTGATTAAGTAAATATTTAGATTTACCTTTTGTAGGTAAAACATAAAAAATACATTTTATTTTTGATTACCATCAAATGGGTCAAATTTGTCCCTTTTTCGGTGTAGAACTTTTTTAAAAGCAACATTTTTGAAACGTCAGAATTCTACGGAATGAAAAAACAGAGTTTAGTATTATGTCTTATATATCTATATGAATCAATTACATCATTATTATTGTAATAAATATTTGACATTATTTGATTCTAATAATATCATATCATAGAATCCCATGTGCATTCTCAATTATCACTACCATAAATGTATTATAGTGCCAGCTCACATCCAGCGAAGCGGCTCGAATCGTCGACGACCAAGTGCTTTCCGGTCGGCTCGATTCTTTAGCGTTGCGAAGAGACGTTGCATCTCTTTGCATTTTCTTACACATCTACCACGGGGATTGTTCGGATTAATCCCAGCCGCCAATTTTCATGAACTCACCACGCAGCAAACCTCCCGATACCATTCACACCATCTGGATGCTTGGTGGTCCACCACTGTACGTTTCACTAGGAGTTTTCCTCCGCGTACGACCTCTCTGTGGAATAGTTTTCCACCGGCAATTTTTCCGGGCCGATACGACCTAGGTCACTTCAAGATAAAAGTTTACTCCTTTCTAAAATGCCGGCAACGCACATGCAATTCCCCTGGTGTTTCAGTTGTTCATAGGCGGCGGTCATAGAGTAGAGTAATATATACAGAAAGCTGCGGTAGTCACTTAACATCAGGTGAACCGAGTGCTCATTTGTCCCCTCTCCTATAAAAAGAAAAAAAATATTATTGGGAAGACTCTAGATAACTTAAATAATATATAGGTGGTAGATCTACTAACTTTTCAAAGTAGGATTGATAGGAAACTATAAACTTCTGAAATCATATTATCTACCTCCGAGACAAACTTCGGATTGGTAACACTGCTTGCAAGTGCCAAAGTTGTCTGTGGTGCATTGCCAACTGTCACCAGTTCACAATATATTTCTCAATTCGCATATTTCTCTTTTCCGGTCTACCTGTGGGGCTCGTGAGACGTATGTGAAAATTGTATCTCTTTACATCTGTAGTTAATTGTTAATTTTTTTTGTTTATCATCCCCTTTTTGATGAAATATTATGTTACAGTGGTTTTTGGTTTCTTATTTTAGCAAAGTTGTGTATATTTTGTTGATACTATTGCAGTTTTATTAGTCAGCATGTCAATCTTGGCGGGTCTCAAATCGCTCTATTTGTGGCCAGACCGATGATGTGACTTCTGATCAATTATAATTGATTTTGTTGCTAGGTCTGCCACAGGCTTCCCAAGATGGGTGCGTACAGATATATTCAAGAGTTGTACCGCAAAAAATTGAGCGATGTTATGCGTTTTCTTTTGCGCGTCAGAGTATGGCAGTATCGCCAGTTAACGCGGATGCATCGTGCTCCGAGGCCTACAAGGCCCGATAAAGCGAGGAGACTCGGATACCGTGCCAAGCAAGGTGAGTTAAAATTAAAGTGACTTTTCATCACGTGGTTTTGTTGCGATAACAAATTATCGTATTTCTGCGTTATTTTAGGTTATGTGATCTTCCGAATCCGTGTGCGGCGAGGTGGCCGCAAACGCCCTGTTCCAAAGGGTGCTACATATGGTAAACCCAAGAGCCACGGTGTGAATCAACTAAAGCCTACGCGTAATTTGCAGTCCATTGCTGAGGTAATAATATTCAATTAAAGATTAACAATATTGAATATTTTTATTGTTTCCGTACCTTAGTCAAATCTTAGCTTATCTTGAAAATTCACGCGTAATAATAAATATGACAGAGTACAGTTTCTGCAATTAAATGGCATTGGTATTTTGTTACTACATTTTTGTAGGTAGGTATTTACATCAAAAAAAATTGTATTTAATACATTGCATTTTCATTAACTATAAAACAATATGTGTCGTAGACAAAATGTCTAGGAGATGACAAGTTAATGTGGTGTTAGGTCAGCAGCAGTTGAGTGTGAGAAGGTTGAATAGGTACATAATAAATGAATAGTTGATTCCTCGTATTCTCGGTATTGGGACTCCGTATGGTAAAAAACTATATTTAGTGGTCTTACGTGTGACTACTGATGATGTGGTCCGTCCAGTATTCAGATTAGGGCACATGCAATTTCAGTTCCGGAAGTTATTTCCAATACTGGAATGCTAATTTCAGAACTAGTAATTACTTTAAGCACTGCATAACAAACTATTTGTAATACCTATGGTAAACAGATACTTGTTATAAAAACAATGTTGATTACAGTTGTGTAATATAACAAAGTTCATGTTGTTGCTGTGAGTTTGTAATGCCCTTATGTACTGCCATACTATCAGATGATGAAACTGAGTTCGTTTCAGAATGGCCTCCAGTGCTGCTGTTTGAGAAGCCCATAGGCAACCTGTTACAAAAATTGTTTATAAAGGCTATTATTTATAGTATTAAGAGATGTTTTCACTGTTAGTCTATGCGACTTTTACAGTATCATCTGACTCAGGGCTTGCGGCCTGCAAGGCCTAATTTTTCTGAACCAGTGGTAAAAGCGTAAATATCTAATATTGAAGTACTCTTGTAATCTACATGAAATAAGAATAATTTTCTTCTACTATGTTTATGCATATCTTCATATATATTTAAAATATCTTATAAAAATATATACATTATATCCAATTTACAGAGCTTAGACCTTTATTTTTGAACTTATTTTGGTTCAAACCACACCTTTCTAAGATACATATAACCATAGAATATTATAATACACAATTAAATGGCTGTCAACCTTATTTTGTACAAGGATTGGTGTCGCACACAAACAAGCAATTATGTCGTATTGTCATTACTACAAACCTGATTCACTGTTTTGACAGACTGAGCGAATTTAAACATTTTAGACTTGATTAATGTTTTTGACACATCAATATTTCTTTATTTTTGTTTCTAATCACAAAATGTAAATATGTAGTTTCAACTTACTGGTTGTAGGATATTTCTCCTTTATTTAAATTCCATTTTCTGCTGTTCTTTCAACACATCATTATTGCACAATTTCAAATTGTGCAATAATCAATTTGCCATTTTTAAATAATTTGCATGCAGTGACGCTTGACATGAAAATTGGAAATGATTGATTGTGTTGACATTTATATGTGTGAATTAAGATGTTAGTGGCATGACATGGGTTCTGCCCACTCCCCCTTCTATTATGTATGTATTATAGTATTCTATGCATATAACTGAAATAAATAACAAAAGCTAATACCAATGCCAAACAGATGCTTGGTTTAATTGCTAAGAAGAAAGATTCTCATGTTTTTACTCCTTATTATAGTCTTATTATATTGAATTCATTCATCATTCATTTAGTCCATAAAAAGTCCATTGCTATTGCAGTGCAAAAATTTCCTCATAGGGTATTTGTATCTGTCATGATTGCCAAGCTTGACCGGGGGAACAGCATATTTTTTATTATTTAAAGATGGTATTAGGAAGATGCTATTGCTTGTTTGTTTTAGCATACAAGATTAGAATGAGATATTCTCTCATTGGATAATACCTACAGTGCAAATACTAGCACTGTTTTTATTTATTTAACACAGAATATTTACACTTTTAGAGCTTTTATAATCCACCAAACTGTTCAGCAGTTCAGAAAAATTTGAACTTGCAAAATCAATTTACACTAGGCTGTCTTGTGTGCTTAACTGTCTATACAATATGAAATTAGCATGTCATTAAGCTATCTACAAATTGGATGATTTAGTGGCCGCCTTATATGTATATCATTGTGGGGTGTTTATATTTATTTTTCTTATTTATGACTTTATTTTTAATATTTGTCTACAGGAGCGTGTAGGTCGTCGTTGTGGTGGCTTAAGAGTGTTGAACTCATATTGGGTTGCTCAAGACTCATCCTACAAATATTATGAAGTAATCCTGGTTGATCCATCACACAAGGTATATTCTGTTTTTGTTCTTTGTTTTGGCTAGATTAACCATGATGTTTGAAGCTATAACTTTGTGAGAATCAGTATAGAAGTAATTTTTTTTTATGCTTGCATATTTTATAACTTACTTATATATAATTTATGATGAACAACTTTGTCATGCACCAATCTGAAAGGTTTTGATGTATCCTCACCTACCATTTAATCTGATTCAAATACTTATTTATATTTAATAAATCTACTTAGCCCTTGAGTTCATTCACATCATTTTTCTTTTAGGCTATCCGCCGTGATCCGAAGATAAACTGGATAGTGAACCCAGTTCACAAACACCGTGAAATGCGTGGTCTCACTTCAGCTGGTAGAAGTTCACGAGGACTTGGCAAGGGTCATAGATACTCCCAGACCAAGGGTGGCTCGCGACGTGCTGCTTGGATCCGTAAAAACACCTTGCAATTACACCGCAAGCGATAAAAATATTTATAACCACATCTCAGACTTTTTTTCATTTGTTATGCTACCAGATAGAAAGTCTGGGATTGGAAATAAACAACTTTACAAATACCATAACAAATTTTTGATTTTTAATTTAATTCTTTATTTTAATAAATTCTACACTCACACTACACACACTTATTTTAAAACATGTAAGTATTTAAATATCTTACAACTAATTTATATTATATTTTTAGCAATAACTTTTAGCAATAATTTTTTTTTTAAATTCTGTTCCAGAATTCAAAATGTATGGAATATTTCCAGCATTGAGAGAGGTAGGGATACAATTTATCTGGCCTTTTTGTTTTTCTTTTGTAATTCATTATGATGATAAAATGCTTTATGAAATGCGCAAACCATGATTACCACGCATTTATAACTTCCTTGGATGGCTGAACAAGTTTTGTTTTTTAATTTTTTGTTTATCATATTTAATATATTATAATTATTTTCATTTCCTTTCAGGTTTCTGGCTGTTTTGCCACATCTTCAGTTATCAAAAGGTAAATGAATGCCTTTAAGTAAAAAAAAAAAAACTTATAAAGTGCTTCTCCTAATCAAAATATTTGTTTCTTCTCTATTAACACATTTCTTAAAACTATCATTTTCTGTTATTATTCAATTTCTTTTAGATTACCGTTACTGTTACAGCCTATTAAATAAAGTCCACTGCTGAACACAGGCCTCCTTCTAGATTGCCTCTGATTTTTGCCATAGTTATCAGCTTGGCAAACCCAGTAGTCATTATTAGAAAGATGCTGTAACCATCTGATTTTTTCCCATCTGCCGTCCCTTACGACATGCACGGGATGATTACAGGGTAGTGGCGGTGTAACTGCACGATCCTTTCCGTCATATTCAATGATTTCAAAAAGAAGGATAGGCCCATCTAAATATTTAACTCATAACTTTTTCATACAAGAAAAAGTAGCACATCTGTCATAATATAAACGTCATTTCAAAACACGACGTAAACAGGGTCGGATTTCATAGTATAATAATTATCCTAATACATTTCATAGTTTGTAGTATATAGTATCGTAATAATACTAAGTGAAAATACCATAATTTCACCTAAAGGTCGACTTGTATTATTATTGGGTCCTTTTACATTTTAATATTAACCCTATGATATCGAGAATTTCTGTATTGTACATAAGTACCGCGTTTTTTAATAAAATTAGAATTAGCTCCCTTTCTGGTCGATCGATGCTCGATCAATGCATTTATGTTGCATCCTTGATACGACTATAATGAGGGACTACCACGATAAAAACTCTATGCTCCAAAAAAAGAAAAAACAATCTGTTTGAAAACAGAATTTCAAAATATTTTATGAATCAGATTTTTAGACTAAATTAAGCAGATATGGTTTCTTTTGTACTCCTTTGGTTTTTTTAAACAAAAATTTAACAGAAATAAAAATAAAACCATTAAAAAACGAAACGATAAACTAGACGCGTGACGCCAAAATCCCGGCACATGGGAGAAAAGAAACATGAAACGTCAAACTTGATATATTTTTTAAAAATAGTATAATTTTATTTTCCATGTCAAATATTTTTGAGGATCTGAATCCAATCCTGGCCTAATCTTGGTAACGTAACTAAACTAACTGTAAAATAAAACTTCATAAATGCGTTTATTTAATTATAACAAAATTAATATAAGGTTATTTACCGATGATAAATTTTGTCTTTATTTCTTCTTTTTTACTTCAGATATTTATTTCATTATATATTATTCAAACATCATATTATATATATCATTCATTTGTATATTTATTTACGAAGTTTATAAGCATGTATATATATTATATATATATATGTATGTATGTATTATTGTATGTATATTTATACTATATGTGTATATATACTTAAATGTAATGTGTGTGTATGTACTTTGCATATATGTATATTTTAATGTATGTATATATTTTAATGTAATTATTTACGTATAATGGTCGCACCTGCCAACAATTGTCCTTGGCACCCAGGGTTGACTGGCAGAGAATGCCACATGGTATTAAGTCCGCCCTATGTACCCCTTTAGTTTAAGGTGTTACGTTTAAGTTTTTAAATAAAAATAAAATAAATAAATAAAAATGATACTATATCCCATTTTTTTAAATCTTTTTATCGTAATTTTTGCATTCTTTTACCACGCAACTAGACATGTCATGCGCAGCACTGTCGACCGATTCGCGTTGGCCCTAAACTGTAATTTTAGGGATAGCGCACTGGTCCGTTTTAGTTGTTCGATTGGCCCGGTCCTTACGCTAGTAATATATGTCAATTGTCATATTATTTCGAAAAAATTTATAAATTGATAAATATCCAAATTCGGTTTTTAACTTCTTATTAATTTTTTTTAATGAGTTAAAGAATTTGGAAATATTATTATCTTGTCTAGGTGAGGTTATTGTTACAAAATTTTCAATAAACCTCAATCCGGCGAGAAACAGTATTAAATTATGTACTTTTTGTGTACTTTAGTGAGCTTCGTTGGCTTTACACAATTTTCTTTTTTTTTGCAGGTATGCAGGGAATACTGTTTATATATATATATATATTAAGTATATGTACTAGGCCGATACCCGCTCCCTTCGCTTCGATAATATTTTATCGCGGAACCTATATGTAAAATATCAATATTTTGATGAAACTCGTGTACCAAAGTAACGCACTAAATATATAGTTTCAGATCTCGTGATGAGGTCAGTCAGTGGTATTTTGCTTATATATAGATTATAAACTTTCTACCAATAAATTTATGTATTTTTAAATAATGATAGTTTTATTTAAAAAAACCATAAAAAAAATTACTGTAGTTGTCGCGCTTGGCAGACGGATTAGCAACCGCAATTTGCTGCTGACCATATCCTGCTTCAGTTTCTCTGTCACGACACCCACGAGTAGAGTAAGAGTAATTCACGTATGGGGGCAGTGGATCATGGTGATTAACAATAATAGACAAAAATAATACAAAAACATTAACAACAAATCGTATTTGTGCAAAAGTACGGTTGCACCATTGAGCTATTATGTACTACGTAATAGAGGAGACACTGCATTCAGCAACTCTGTTCCACTCAACTGCGGTGCATGCATAGATAAATAAATATGTAGCAAGCTACAGATACGACAGTGACTTTTAGTCAAGTTTCCCAACTACGCCTTTTGGCGCTGCAGTCGCCCATTTTGACAGATGAGTAATGACTACCGTAAAATGGGGTGAATAGAAAGGATTTCAACTTTTGAATCGAAATTTCAGTATGTTTTTAGCAAATTCCGAAGGTAGCAGTCATCATGTCTTGTGAGTTAAAGTGTAATAAACTGTTTTCAATGAAAGATTAACTTAATTATCTCGTCATTTATTTAATAAATTACAATATCTGCGCGTTTTCTATTTACCCGCGATATGGGTGAATGGAGTCGAAAAGGGGGTCAATAGAAAAAAATGCTAGGGTTGTCAAAATTTATTTATGTATGTACCTAGTACATATACCTATAAATTATTATAGTAACATTAACTTTAAAAAAATAGAACAGGGATAGTAAATTATATTTTTATGCAAACAGTTAGGGCCAATCACCCACACAATTTTTTTTTTAATAAACAACAATTAATTTTACCAAAAAATTATGTTTAGTACGTCAGCTAGATTATCAAAACATATTGTAACAACGTGTTTTTATTTTGTCACTTAAATAAAAAAAATGAGGATGATACAACGCCTTTAAGCTTCGGATGATGTCACAAGATAGTACAACAAAATCCCCACTCCAGAGCGCTTTACCAATGTCAAGTTTTATTAATTTAAGGAAGCAAAAGATACGTGGCTAACGTTTTTTGATGATCTAACTGACGGACTAAATATAACGAACTTATAAAGTGAAAAATTCTTTCTATATACGTACTTGTGTAATGCAAAAGAATCTAAATAAAATCAATTAAAAACAAAACCTATGTGAATTAACAAAAAGTTAATATTTTTATTAATCATAGTACGTACGTAAGTAATTATTATAATATTATTTGGAGCATTCCGAATTTATATTTAAATATTATCATCTAGTAAGTCTCTTAGTATAGCCTCATCGTCTTTATAATATTTGCTCTGTCTTGCAGTCTACTTTAAAATTATTAAAGGCGCTTCAAGGGAAACTTTTTTGTACTTCTGATCATAACTAATATTCTTGCGAGTTTCTAAAAAGTTTTTATTTTCTATTATTTTTATTTTTTCTCTTTTCATCTTCGGTAAAGGTTCAGTTATAACTTCTGCCACAGAATATTCTTCTTCGTTATTTCGTAACGGACAGTTTGATTCACCAGCATGATCAGACTGACTGACGTTGTTTAGACCGGTTTCTGTATTTTCAGCTTCTGCTGTAGGGTTTATTATTATTATAATCACTTAGTGGACAGTTTTCAATAGTTAGTTCTCCTCCACATTCCAAGTCATTTTTAAAATATACAGGCATATCTAAAACACTGTCATTGAGGTCTATTATCGTTTCGTTTGTCTGTAAATGCATTGCCTGTGCCCACATTTTCCTCTCTGATATCATATAACTCCTCCATCAACATGCTTGCCTTCCTTTTTGTCTTTTTACCGATCCCTTTTCCTTTAATACTTTTGTTTAAGTTTGTTGTTCCTTTAGGCAATAGATTTTCTTTTTCCATTGAATTATCTGGCTTTTTTATTTTTCTTTGTGGTTTTGATGTACTCGGACCCGGTGTTACTTCGGAGTCAACATAATCCTCAGTAGATTCGCTAACACTCTTTCCTGCCACCACATCGAGTTTTCACTTTCTTTTTAATTCTTTTACGCCCATAGTACCATATCGCATGTCATTTAGTAAAGTTAGTACAGACTCATCCACTGCTTCCCTATGTCTACTGCTATTGTTCGATTGTGTTGGTATTCGAGATAGCACTTGTGTAGGGTCTAAAGGATAGATACCAGTTTTTTTAAAACCAGCTTTTAAATTAGACTCAGCATTTTCTTGTATTGCCTCCATTAATTTCTTCAGTAATTTAGGGAAGCAACCTTTTGGCACACTTGTCTCATTGCTGCCATCTGTTTTTTTCCACTTAAGAAGTATTTGCCGCCAAACTGCCTTCATGGGCCTAAAAAAGGCTACATCGAGAGGTTGAGTTATGTGTGTTGAATTACTTGGTAAAAATACAAAATCAATTTGCTGTTCTTTGCAAAGTTTTATCATATCGACCGACAAATGTGAAGATAAATTATCACCTATTAGCAGCTTTTTTCCCGGCTTATCAGCAAAGAAGGGAATGACGATGGATTGCACCCAATCTTCAAAAATTGTACCATCGAACCATCCTGATGCCGAACGATTATACCTTGCACCTTTAGGCCCGTGAGAAATCCATGTATTATATAAATTTTGTGCTTTGTATACCACGTATGGTGGTAAAATCTGGCCCTCTGCTGACCCAGCTATCATTAAGGAAACACTGGCCTTTGTGTGGTTCATGACGCGTTCTCGATACTTAGTGCCGCGTTTCGTAATAATTTTTCTGCGCCCTGGATCGTCAGCGAGATTTGTCTCGTCATAATTGACGATATTTGCCGCTGGAACATCGGCCAAAGATATTTGTAGTTCTTCAAAATATTTTGTTATGATTTCTGCTGACACGGCAGCTCGAGATCTCTTAATATTTTGGCATATTCGTTGAGAAATTTTATCTTTATGTCTATTTAAAAAACATTGGATGAAATCAGGCCCAGGGAAATTATTTTTGAATCGCTTATGAGTAATCCCAATCTTATCCAGATACATTTTAACAATATATCTTAAGTCTAGTGAGTCCAGTGGATAGCCCCATTCTGCGCAAACGTTTATGTATTTGATGATATATTCTTCAGTTGTCAACGAAAGTGCCCTTTGCCCACCTTGCGATTTTACTAGTCCTTTGCTGTGGCGATACAACACTGATGGGTGTATATTGTGTTTGATAACTACTGTTTTTATCGAATCATTACCCATTAAATAATCTTCTACCGCTTGCTTAAGAACATTTTCGTCATACCTTTTATAGCGCTTGCCTCCAGGTTCAGGTTTATAAATGCGCGGCATTGTCCAAAATAATCTGAACAAACAAAATAAACATTTATTTTCAATACGAATGAAAATAAAAACATTAACTATTTCATAAAACTACAGTCACTAGGTACCTACAATCTTTCATAAGTACAAAAAAGTATCAGGTATAATTTTGTGTAGCAGCCCTAGCAATGACAATTCTAATCACCCCAGTCGTATTACTACTCACCCCTCGTGCACTTCTATTCAGACTTTATCCACCCCTCAGGCGTGTTCTATTCACCCCAAACTTATTCAATTTATAGGTAGCATAACTTTTGGACTTATTTAGAACAGAAATCATGCTCAATTTAACTTACCTTTGAGTTTTCTTAATAGTTAAGTAACTAACGCTGCATAAATTCGTATTGATGGCTGAATTCAATCATAGTAACGAACAGAAATAAAAGTTTTACGCTTCTCAAATTCACAACCGTTACTTGATCACTAGCATAGATAAATAAATATGTAGCAAGCTATCACTAGTCAGTAATCTATGTTGATCACTTTGAGACATTGTTTTTCGCATTTATGAACAACTTCACTATCATGACGATGTTGCCATAACAAAATCAATGTTGCCGTATATAAAAAAATCAAATGTAGGTAATTTCATTGAGCACTGTGAGAGCAATAATGCAACGAACAAAGTTTCACTTTTTTTCTATTCCCCCCTTAAATTCTATTCACCCCATTTTACGGTATACAATTTAGTATAGCTATGTATAGCTTAGGGATTGCAAGCACACATCCTTCAAATTATCGATATCGATGTTTAGTGCTGTTGTTATTATATCGATATAAGTGTTGTTATTATATCGTTATAATCCATCTACCTTATTTATTTTTTATTCAACCACACCAACATCATCATATACATACACTCCTATACATGTAATCTTAGGATTAAATTAAAGCCACATTAATTTATATAAACAAATGCCAACCATTACATCAGATTTCATAGACCACAAATCCTCGCGAAAGAACACCGATTCCTGCCAAGGATGATGCGTGAGGCTATTGAAATTAAGAAACATCCTAATTTCAATAGAGAAGGAGCCTGGGTACTACCACCTGCTTGGGATCCTATAATCAATAAAGTTAAAACTAAACCCAAGCATACCACTGCAAGACCTCAAGACATAGTCAGTTCATTTTGCATAGATCGGACCATAAACAATAATTAAAAAAGCTGAAGGTACTCCGGGTTTAACAATGACTTCGGGACGTCAGTCATCTCAGTCCCCCGTGACCATGGGTGCTGGAAAGCGCCCGAAACGTCGGGAATTAAAAATAAAAAGTAAAAATAAACGCGATAAAATCCGTAAAAGTAGTTTTAATCATGTGCAATGTTCGCGTAAATATAAGAAATCAAAGATGAGTAGCATATATCAGCTATGCTAAGTAGGTAGCTTACTTTATGTGGAGAAATGTTAGGAAAATGTTTGTTTACGCATGCTGATGAGATTTTCTGTATTGCTTTTGAGCATGCTGAGGATACTTGCTGTGCTTTTACACACCGGGCTTCATTGTCTGGTGGTTTTCAAAGACGGAGCCTTATAGATCCTGGCTTACACTGATAGGGGAGGGCTATAGGTTTGTTACATTAAAAACAATTTACACTGTTAAAGATATAATACGCAAGAAGTTGTAGATTAAGCCTGAATTAGAAAATAAGGTAAAAATTTAAAGTGACGGTTTTTTATATATGTGGGTCTATAAGTATTGCATCTGATTAAATTGACATAATAACATAAAATTTACAAACTGCTTGCAAACATATGTTATTAAAAATCATTGCTTACAGAGTTCTATAAACCGGCATTGTATAGTTCGGCCGTTCAGAGAATGCGTTCCTGACACCTATCAGCTAGTCACGACTAGTGATGGGCACAACATAACACTGAGTTCGTTACAAAAAAAAGGCTAATGACGAAATATCAAAGATATTATTTTCTGAAAAATTTTATAAATTTGATAGTGAAGATACCATTGTGGAACATAAAGAAAATGATACGGAGTTAATTGATATCTTAGACAGACAGCATAGAGGAGGGAGTATTGGTAATAGAACATACACCACTGCTGAAATAGAAAAAATGTTGACTGCATTAGATAATTGATACAAAGATACAACAATCTCAAAATCTTGACTGAATTAGATGATTATTATGAACGATCTCAGTTAATTACTTTTTATAATTTTATTTTTATTTTGTTAATGATTACTTAATTTTTTATAATATTTTGTAAGAAACTTAAAAGAAGTTCCTAAACTATTTTAATTGATAAAAATAAATACCATTTTTTATTAGATATATATATATATATATATAGTATTTTATTTCTGTAACCTATGCCTAAATTAAAAAATCCATTAGAAGGAAATCAGTTAATATCACATAAATCTACCTGGGTATGTTATGCTCATATTGTAATACGTATAGACGAGCCAATAGTAGGTTATGTTCCCTGCCAATAAAGGGATTTTCTATGCTAATGATTGGTCTTTCCATTCAACATCATTTAATTAAAAAAAAATTAAATCAAACTGCGTAATCTAAAATAATGTGTACTGAAAAACGTTCTTTAATGATATTAGAAGAGTTTAAATCCCTCTTCTTTGTTTAAATTTATACCATATGAGCAAAATTAAAAGTGTTTGTGGGATAGCCACTTAAAGTGCCAATAAATGGGTGTTTTACCCTACTTGCACAGGCACAACCTAGTAGCCAGAATTCTACACCAGGAGCTCGCTCTGAAATACGGCCTCGTATACCGGAAATTGCCGTATTATAAGTACTTGCCGGAAGCCGTGCTTGAAAATGACCGCGTCAGGTTCTACTGGGACCGGGCCATCAGCACAGACAGGACTATTCTTGCGAATAAGCCTGAAATTGTGCTAATGGACCGGGCACAGTCAAGGAGTCCTGGTCGACATTACCATTCCGTATGACGAGAACCTTTTGAAAGCCGAAACAGTTAAGCGATCAAAATATCTGGACCTGGCTCACGAGGTGACCGACATGTGGGGTGGGCTGTCGACCGAAATTATACCGACTTATATATATAACGATTACATCGTTTCTGCAAACGGGCTAATCCTAGTCAACCTCTCGGGTCATCTGAGGCGACTGGGACTCCGTGACGGACTGCTCCGGGCTCAAATACGGAAGGAGGTGCTCCTTGATACCGCCCGCATTGTCCGCCGGTTTCTTTCCCTTTCCCCCTAACCCTAAGCCGTTTGGCCTCCCCTGCAGAAACAGAAACTTTTTTATTCAATGTAGATTATAAACAATACTTATTGAAAGTCAATTTTTTCATTTACCAAAAAAACCTCTGTCCTGGGAAGAACCAGCAAGAAACCCAGCGGGACTATTTTTTTTTTCAAATAATAGCTTGCAATCATGTTTACAATTAACAACACAAGACAAATTAGAAATAGCTTGGTAGCGATCACCCTTCCCAGGAGTTATTATCATCCATAAATTCCTTAATATTATAATAACCCTTTTAATACAAATTTAGTTTAATAAAATTTTTGAACTTTGCTTATGACAAATTTTGCATATTTTCTGGGATTTTGTTGTAAAAGCGTATACATCGCCCCAAGAATGAATTACTGACTCGGTGGAGTCGATTAACTGGTACTAATAGCTTGTGTCTGTTCCTAGTGTTTACAGAATGAATATCACTTATTTTTGCAAAACTACGTTTATTCTTGTGTACGTACATTACATTTTCATAAATATATTGAGAGGCCAGAGTTAATATATTAATTTCCTTAAATTTTTGTCTCAGTGACTCTTTTAGTTTTAAATTATATATTGCTCTAATGGCTCTCTTCTGTAAAATAAATATAATTTCAGTGTCAGTCACGTGTCCCCATAGCAAAATACCATACGACATAATGCTATGGAAATAACTAAAGTAAACTATTCTTGCTGTTTCAATACTGGTAAGAGTTATAATCTTTTTTTACAGCATATGCTGCAGAACTAAGTCTGCTAGCTAGTTTTGATATATGGGGGAGCCATTAATGCTTTGCGTCTAGTGTGATTCCAAGAAAAATGGTGGTATCAACAAGACTCAGTTCTTCCCCATTTAAAATTACATTCGTATTAACATGTTTGACATTAGGAGTTACGAATTTCGTACATTTAGTTTTAGTACCATTTAAATACAAATTATTAACATTAAACCAATTGACTACCTTAGCTATAGCATTATTTACTTCGTCGTAAATTAATAACTCGTTTTAATTTGAAAATTAATGAAGTATCATCAGCAAATAATACTAAATCATGGTTATCCCCTACTATGTAAGGTAAGTCATTAATATATACAAGAAACAGAAAGGGGCCGAGAATTGAGCCCTGAGGCACGCCCATTTGTACAGTCGACCCGGAAGAACTCATACTATTAATTACAACTTTTTGCGTTCTGTCACTTAAATATGAAATAATTAATTTAAGAGCATCACTTCTTACACCGTAGTGTTGAAGTTTCCTGATTAATGTTTCATGGTTTACACAATCGAAGGCCTTGGATAGGTCACAGAATATACCCAAAGCATCCTGTGAATTCTCCCATGCATTAAAGATATATTTAATAAGCTCAACACCAGCATCAGTTGTTGAGCGACCCCTTGTGAAACCGAATTGATTTTTATGAAGTAAATTATTTACATTAAAAAAAATTTAACATTTGATCAAGAATAATTTTTTCAAAAATTTTACTAACTGTTGGCAGTATAGAAATAGGTCTAAAATTAGCGGGGTCCAACGTACTGCCAGATTTAAATAAAGGTATTACTTTACTATGCTTCATTAAATCAGGAAACACACCAGATTTGATACTAGTATTAAAAATAATACATAGTTGAGGTGCGATTGCATCTATTATAGACGCAATAACTTTAACGGAAATCCCCCACAGATTGGCGGTTTTCTTAATATAATAGTCTAGTATAGTAATACAATAGTCTTAAA